AAGTAGTTAACAATTTTTAAAAGTATAATTTTCGAATATAATGAAAAATTTCAAAAAACAAAATTTGAATAAATTCATAATTATTTGATTGATATTTTATTATGAAAATTGAGAATGTTCATGATTGGTGAATCATTCTGCATTATATTTATATATAATATGTATTATGTATTAATCATGCAAACGAAGAGAGTACATCACAGTGTCTTGTGCATTTCCGCTGTCGCCGCTGCCTACCGGAATGATAATAGTAATGCGATTTGAAAACGGCGTGACGGGTTACGGTGGGTGGCGCGGCGTTTCGCGGTGATGGGCGGTAGCGAAGTGGTGTCAGCGATGCCTCGTACGCGCGGCGGTAACTCGATTACGGGCGTCGTCGTCGTCGGTGGAATCGGCTTCTGTCTACTAATATTACTATAGTCATTTTCATCGTCACCGTCTTTAGTCTTCGGTCTTGTATTTAATTTGAACACGAATAAGGAAATCGGACAAACTTGCGTATTTATAATATATATACTCAAGTATTACAATATCGTGTCATCGTTGCAACTGCCGGATTGGATAGGTTCCGCATTGTACTTTAGAAACTTCAATTTGTTCTCATTTGTACCGGATGTGCATGTTTTTTGCATTTTCTCCGGGGTAAATGTTATGGATTCGCGAGGGAATGCTTTATTATTCTATTGAATAGTGTCTTTCTCTCTCTTTTTCGTTTTTCTATCCCTTTTCGTTTTCCTCTCATATCTTGTTGATTTATTTGTCACTAACAGTTTGCTACCATCATGCGAATTTCACGTGAAATAAAATGTAAACAAATTTTCTGACCTGTTTTTATAAACGTTTATCGTTATCCGAATGTTTTTATAACCATCCTTTCCGATTAAAAATGATCGTGCTTTTATACAATTCTTTTTTTGTATTTATATCGTTATTTATAAGGCAACGATAAAAAATTGTACACCTAAGTTTTCTTTTATCGAATTCGGTGAAAAATTTATATTTTTATTTACAATTTTTAATTTTTTTATTGTAGTAAATAATCGTGTTAACGTGTTATATGTGAATCGTTAAAAATATTAATTCTCGATAGTCTTTATAAATATATTATTTGTTTTCTAGTGATCGTTTCATTATGTTACATACTAGATTTCCATATGACTATCAAGGTATATAATATATTAATAAGAAAAAAATTGTATTTTATTATCATTGTTCGCTTTTATATTAATTTTTATCAGATTGTATTTTTTAAACGAATCGATCAATTTTAATGCATCGTGTAGTCGACCCTGACAATACGGCGTAACGTATAGGTAATTCAACTACACCCTTGTCAATGTCAATTTAACGTATGGAAAAACGATTGGCTATACCAAGAGTAATATATAATTTCTTTTTAGTGAAAACGATTTACAATATTGACTTCGACTTAAAATTACATTAAAAATAAAAATTCCTATTCAAACAAGATGTAAATTATGGATATACTTGTTGTGTATCTACTTATTGTATACATATACAGGAGGGCTTGTCTAAGTTTCTAAGTTATCAATTGAAATATTCAACTATAGATATCATAATAACTAAAACATTGTATACTATATACATATATTTTATATTAAAATTTAAAAGTAAATTATTATGAACAGATTTATAATATATTCTGATAATTTTGCACATGCATAAATGTAATTCGCATAAAATATAAGAAATCAGCAATTTATTTTATATTTATGAATTTCTATTAAGTTCGTTACAATTAAAACATTATTTTAATGGGTATAGCTATGAAGGTAATATAGATAAAAAAAAAAATGATATAAATATCATGATCACTCAATTTTTCTTATTTTAATTTAAGTAATTTTAATCATTTTTTTCACTTAAATTGATGTTTAAAAAGACATTTATATTTTTGATAGCAAAGGCATATAAATAATTGTATTGTTATCTTACGAGATCTTCATTAATCCTTGTTACATATTCATTTATGTCCGTTTTAAAATGTATTATTTTGGATAATTATAATCTATTGTATAATTTTATCTAGTTTAATTTAAATACAATTTGATTTATGTTTATGAATAATTTTCTTATTATCTAAGTTTAAAATATACCTTGAAGATATTTTATGGCTGAATAAATGTACATTTAACTTAATAACGCACACTGAAGCTAAAAATAAATACATTTTTGATCTTGTTGTTTTAAGTGCATAAAAACATAATTAAAATAAAAAAATATATTTTTATGATATAAAAATACTTGTACATTTGGAGTTTTACTTTTAAAGTCAATGAAAAATGTATATAAACATTACTTCAGTGAACTATGCAAAATATTTCGACATTTTCAATCCACGCACTTCAAAAACCATTGGTATTAATGGTATAACCATAAATTTAAACTGTCAAAACGCTAAACATTTTTTGATGACATTTTAAGCTAGGGAGGAAATAGCAAAGTCACGGATAGCTGATTTCCAAAACATAAGGGTTACTTTCCCCCACGAATGCGAAATTGAAATTGTGACAAGACATCAATTTTTAAAAGCCAATAATACATTATGTGTACTGGTTTGTAAATAAAATTTATTTTTCTAAAAATTTGCTATACACGTTCCAATACATACGTGTTTGAAATTAACTGTCATTGGTTGTCATATTTAAGCGGGAAACAGTTTATCGTACACAATGGAGTCTAAATAATATTGCAAAGAGTAAAGTTTTTCTGGGAAGATGAGTGGCTCGATTGTTTCGAAGACTTTGTGTGCATGAATTTAATATACAATGTTCGGATTATAATGTATGGAAATGTGTCGTTACGTCAGAAGTAGTCGGGTGAATCCATTTTGGTTTTACACGTTTTCCTGTTTTCACCCTAACACTCCCTGCTTTCTACAATGTCGTTTCAAGTTTCTTGGTTTGTTATGTAACAGCAGAATATCCTATAGAAATCGCATGCCTCATATTAATTTGTTATTATTCTTTTCTTGTTATAAATATACGAAATCAGTATAAATATATACTCCTTTTTTTTTTTTTTTTTGGTAACCACCCCTTGTTTTTTATTAGGTTTATTAAAAGAACTTGTGATTTTACAAACTCCGTAGGGTTTAAAATGGAGTTGCGTTTCATATACGTGGTAATCCTGAGGTTTGATTATAATCATAAAAAAAAAAAAAAACAGAGACTTGCATTTTAAACAGAGAACCCTTGATGGTAATTAAATCACGTAGTATTCCATTTTGGCGTATCGAAAGGTCATTTATTGTTACGGAAATTGCTATTCGCTTATAATATTTTAATCTCCATATCGTATCTAAGTAGATTGTTGGGTTTGATTCACATGCATATAATGTAGTCTACCATTGTAAATTTTTCACAAATCGAAAGGGATTCAAAACAGGTGCAAAAATCGACATCAATATAATATGTTTCTGGTATAAACCACTCACAAATAATGAATATTACGAGGATAGATTAGGGGAACTAGACTTGATTTCATCAATATCGATGACTATACATATATGTATATTTACTGAAGTTTGACTAGCAGTAAAACTACTATACTGAGGAAAAAATCAGAATAAAAATGATCATGGGTAGTGGTAAATAATAAAAAAATAAATATCATACTTTAGATCAATTTTCTAGTCATGCGCTATAGACGGTTTTACTAAGCCTGACACGAACACTGTAATGGCGGGATTTCTTAGTAACACAACGTGATGCCCGGGAGCAATGAGACTATGCCCAACATAATATATTATTATATTATTACATTTTCAAATCTCTCTCTCACACAAAATAAAAGTTCAGCAGTTATCCGATGCACTGATGTACGCGTATTGTTTAAGTACCAACGAATTCGCCAGTGCCACAAATTGTGCACGCACTCAGTCGTATCACATAAAACTTTCGGATAAAAAATTAATTTTAATAGGTACGAAGGGACGCGACGACAAAAGTTACGGGAACGCGTTTCAACTCTGACAATATCTTAACACACATTACATGTATACTTACACTAAAATAGTAATATTCTACGAAGATAAACAGCCGCGGGTCTCACTTTTCCGCCAGTTTCCTCCACTGCACAACTACACATGTCACACACACACACGTTCAGTGACTTGCAAACATTATAATTATATCATGTATATTATTCAAACGTTTTAATATTAATGTGCACATGTTTGATGAATACGACCTTAACGCACAAATCAAATTTTGTCTCGTACACTTTTGTGAAATAGGAAACTATCAAGTGCGAATAATGCGTTTTGTTGTTGTCGTCATACACTACTGTATTGTATTCCATATATCCTTAGTGACGTTTAAGATGACTCGGATAACCTTTTGGGTGTAACTGATTAATAATGTAGTTGCATCATTTTTTTTATACATATAATATTTTGTTTGTTGTTCGTTGTACATGGTGCTAAAATTATATCCCAAAAGATATTTATTAGAACTATACAATAATCAATACAAAAAACGTATATAACGTGAATAACGTAAAAACTCTATAAACGAACATTAATATCTATGATATTATACCCTACCACACATAATAGTTATATCTTTATATTGAATTATTTGTTATTTTGTTTATTTTTTTCGAGAACTTTAAATTACTTTACAATATAATAGTACTGCTGACACAGTAATAAAAAATAAATAATTAAAAAAGTATATTATCTTATTTTAATTAAATTATAATTAATTGAATGCAGTCATAACTTATTTATAATTTTAGTGAATGGCTAAGATTTTACATGTTGTGTATCTAATAAATATTTAATACGTCCAAAATGTTAATACAAAACAATATAATATAATATATATTTATATGTTATTAATATAGTAAATATCTATAATTAAGTTGGTTGTAATGAATTTTTTCATGCAAAATATATGTAAACAAAAATTATTAAACGTCCAATATGAAATTAAACATTGCGCTTATTAGTGTTTCTTTTTTGTTTTTATTTGCAGGAGCCGCTACAGCCTCCAAAGTATATACGGACGCTATAATGAGATTGGCAAAACAATCTCAGCAAGGAACTTGGGGAGGATCAGCCGATATTGGTAAGTTATAAAATATTATCTTCTTTTCGTATAAACGATAATGGCACTGCTATGAATGGGATTGTGGAAATAACGTCCAATCACATTTTATCACTATCATAATAAAGTTACACATTTTTTTTTATATTCAATCAAATGTATTTTTAATTACACTTGACCATAGATTTAAATTGGTGAATTATTCACACCCAGAAACAATTTGTTCACATTTTTATTATTACTATTATTTTTTATTTTTTCACCCGACAACACGTCACGTGTTTTTGTGCAAACAAATCGATTTGTCGAGAAAATGGCAACTGGCTAATTTATGTCGTTTTCCTCTCGAAAGGCTATGCAAATACAAGAGATAAATATTGCATTTTCGAATCGTACTTCTCTACCTCTAATACTTGTTTTTGTGTCGAATTAACAATCAACCACCAACAACTATTGTTCAAATATTAGCTATTATTTTTTGTTTGTCAAATTTGACATTAAAAATAAAAATAAACGTTAAAAAAATAAATTAAAGAATAAGAGAATTGAATTTCAGACAATTTATTTAAATTATATTTCCTCAATAGATCACAATTTTACACAACATATTGTTCTGTCGACCACATTGCCATGAAATGTATAGCTGTATTAGATATATTGTATTACAATATACACTCACATATATATTTTATATATTGTACTAGTATACAATTCTGTCATCTAGTTCTAACCTTGTTTAATATTTATTGCAACAATAATTGAGGTGAAAAATAATGAAAATATATTGTCATTTATAGAATCGTTAATATTAATGCAATAAACTTAGAAAATAAAACTGAAAACATTAAAAACGATAATAAAAAAAGTTTTTGATGAAATAAGTTTAAATATATAAAATATACTGGAATTAATATAATATATTATATTCATCAATAAAATAATTATATTTTTTTATGTTCTGGAATAAATTAGTACGTATAATATGTAATATAAGTAGCATCACGTGTCCGTATTTTTAAAATCTAATTTCTAATTTGTATCAGTGATACCAGAAAAAATATCATTAATGCAACAGATTAACACTTTTATTCATACGGAATTTATAATATGATAGCTTGACTTTATCCACCACCACTACGTGCGAACTTAACTAAATTATATTACTTTGGTTAGATATTATGGTTGCGATAGAACGGCATAATATATTTTTCTTTATACATTAAACTCAGAAATATAATTTGACACTCATATAGGTAATAAACATGGGTAAATCCAATGTGTTTGTTATTAACACGTTTATGATCTAATCATCATTAGATTCCTTGATTTAGAAATCTTTGTTGGTATAAAATGTACACCAAAAAATGTATTATAGCAGTAAAAATAAAAATAAAGTAACGGTTTTCATATTTTCACCACAAATAATGATAAATAAAAATTACGACTGAGTCCATTTTAATTGTAAATTATACTTTACAATAGACCATAAAATGTTTTTAAAATTAATGTTAAGCGATAATGTTTAGTGCTGTGAAAATTAAAGATATTTTTATTATTTTAATCGATGCACTTAAATGATCAATCAATATAAATTACAATAAATTATTTAAATATTTAAATTTTTTTTTTTTTATTATTAAATAAGAAGAAAAATATATGATTTTTAAATATATAAATAGCGTTGTATTATATTTAAAACCATTCTACTTCAATAAGCACAACTCATGGGCACCGTATTACTGTGAAATTATTTAAATTCCAATCATATCGTTACAGAATTATGTCCTTAAATGGTTAAATTTAAGAGTAAAGTTCACTTTAATTTAATTTATTTTATTCAATTCTTTATTATAATTTATTATTGTACATAGTTTTTAAAAATCATTCAACAATTAAACGTAGCTATTTTTATATTATGCGTAATATAATAAAATACTTATTAAAACAAAAAAAACTAGCTAACGGTTGGTATTTTTTTATATTGTTTTATAAATAGTATATAGTTCATGAAATGGTATTTTTAAAATAGTGTGATATTGATAAATATTTCCACTGACCATATAATTATTTACGAAACTTTTATCAAACAAAAATCATCAAATTTGCTTATTTCATATTTAACTATAGTTCTAATACTATATAGGTTGTAAATAATCACGAAAAAAGAACTCTCATATACATAATTCTGTAAAATATTAATAATTTTATGTATAAATTATTATTTGTTTAATATTTTATTGGTTGTTTTTTTAAAACGATAATCGATGAAGTATATCTTTGTTATTTATACCCCAACTATGTTTAAAATAATTTGCTAATGTATAGTTAAATGTTTTTATGTTTTAAAAGATAAAAGAAACATTATATTATATTATATAGTTATATTTCATGTTCATAAAAACATAAGACTAATCGTAATGGGATCGAAATAAAATTAATTTTAAAATCTCATGTACACTGTATATGGCTCTGTAAATATAATCATATTGTTATATTCAGTAAGAAAGCCATTCGATTAGATTATCTACTTCAGCTAAAAAATTGTTTGTACAATAATTGATATGTATTATAATAAAGAAACTGATACAGTGTTATTATTATAGCACAGCTATTTTCTAAAGCTAATCCATAATAAATTTCACTATGCATGCGCACATTATTGTATTCAAAATAAGAAAGGGAAATACAAATTATATTAAATTATTATAGGTATTGTACATCTAATCAGTGCAAAGATACAGCATTTTGTTGGCGTTTTACAGTTTTGATCGTTTTATGTGTTAGTATATAATCTGTAGGAACCGAAAAATAGAGGAAATTGTCTATATAATATTAGATTTTCAAATCTAATATTTCACTGTATTGCTGTCAGTCTTTGTGATTGCAAAGATTATTTTCCCTTCTCCATACAAAAACTTGGTTTGATAAAAAATATCGTTTGCTTTAGTCATATATTATATGGATAAGACATGTATGTAATACAGTAAGTGATATGGGTACCTACTATCTGTTTTTATTAAATATATTTAACTTTTATAAATTTAATAATAAAAATCGACTTTTATATTACTAAAAAAATATTAACCTTATTATTTCGTATTACACTATTATACAAAATGTTTCTAAATAACATTAAAATAGTGAAAGTATTAAAAATATTTCTTAAAATAAATACATTTTTCTTAATTAATTATATGAAAAATATTTGTTTTTATTACCAATTATTAATAATAGAAATATTTATTATTATTAATACCAATAATATTATATACTAGTAACAACTCGGGTAAACGTTGTTTTCCTGTTGAAATCGGCGTAAACGGGGAGAGTGAAATGAAAAAAATCTCATACACCCATAATTCTGTCAAATGTATTGTTTGGTTGGGGTGTTCTACCGATAAAAGGTCCTCCAACCCTTCCCATCCTAACTTCTTGAAATTTATTGTGGCGCCATCATACTAACAGTGTTTTTCAAATAATGAAAGAGCAGTGATTTCGAGTCAAAGGCCATATAAAAGCCTGAAACCCTGAAGATAAGCTAGTTTCCAGGGGTTTGGTTGGTTTTTTCTCAGTTTTCTCCCAAACGTTTCGAAATTAAATACAGCGACTAACAACAGCGCAGTGAGTAGTCGACTCGTAGTAAACGAAGACTTACAACTACTTAAGGGATTTCTGAGTTCAGGTTTCGTCATGACTCTGACACATATTATACTAATACTTATTCGTTAACTAGGGGTAAACGGCTCTTACCACCCTTTGTTATATTAGGTATAGAAATACGATATCATCAAGTTTACTGATAAATATCATATGATATTAATCATAATAGGATACAGCTGGTTAGATTTATTTAACAACACCTATGTAACAGAGAAAAATGCACAAAGAATTTAAGGATTTTTATAACATTTATATCATAGTAGAATATTATAAATTATTAATGATTAGTTATTACCTATATTATTAGCCTTGGAATTGTAAAAATAATAATATATATGATTGATATTAGTTTTCACTGTTTAAATATAATCAATTAAATTGGTTTTAAAATGTAAATTAAGAAGTGATTCTGAATTATTTATTATATATTAAGTTCAGAACATTTATTTAGTTCTTTTAATACTTTCCAAATATAATAATGTAAAATAATATAATACCTCATAATTTATATAACTATGATAATAATTGTTGCGAAAATTTCAAAAATTATGAAGTTCGTAGTAAACTTAATTTTTTGTAGCTATACGTATAATAACATTTAATCATTTAAATGTTAAAATAATTAAGCAAGTATCTACTAATCGTTATTAGTTATTACAAAAGTTAAATGCAAACTTTAAAGTACGTTTTAATTGTTATAGTACTTAATTACTTAAATTTCTTATAACACTATAATAGTACTCAGTTTAAAATATCTGAAAATGTATTGATCTTATTAATTATTAATTATTCAATTTTGAATACATAATTAATAGCCATAATAGATAAAATTAAAATCACTATTGTAAACCCTTTAAAATTATTTTATTAATTTATATTTTAATACTTTATGTATTATGAAACAAATTCGATTTAATTTTGATTATTATAACATGTCATTTGTGTAGTAATTTTTTATTATTTTTTTTAAATTAACAAAAACAATATATAAATAATAGTCTTAATATTATATAAAATGTCTAGTTAGTATTAGAAAATTGTAAATGATAGTTAATTTTTGTTTTAAAAAAATAGATATTATGCTAAAAAATTATTATTACAACATTTTAAACAAACTTTAAAATGTTTTACTTTATTTATTATTTTTAATTATTAAAACGATAAAAACATAAATTACATTTCTGGACAGTAATAAAGTTTAAGTCCTTCTGGTGCTACAACAATACAAGAATATTCTTTTACTTCCGAATTAAGCTGCTGCCTAAATAATATTTAAGTAATATGTGGTTTATACAAGTTTGTATAAGTGTGCACTATTGTAATCTCCCTCTTTTTATTTCGTTACAAGTTGAATAAGTCAT